TACTCTCTTTAGAGATTAGTCGCACAATTTTTTGCAGGGATGTGTTCCTTTTCTTTCGTGCGTGTTTATTGATATATCTGTACTTTAGTGTTTTCGGACGGTACTAGCTCTTACTGCCAATATAGGAGTATTACATATATGCTTACATAGCGGTATTTAGCGCAAACGGCGGTATCTCCCTTCTAGTGGATTGGACAAAGTACACTGAAATTCCATGTATTCATCAGACCAAATTCAATCTATCCAAAACAAATCTATCCATCTCTCGTAAATATCACCCCAAACGGTGCTGCACTGCAGAGAACTAAATAAATACCTAAATAGGTCTCATTTTGGATAGGAAATTAAACTAGGGATCTAATATCGATAAAGCCACAACGTCTGAATGCTCCTGCACCAGGGCTATAGGAAAAAACTGAGGTCTGGAGCCCAAAATCGTAATATGGATCTACACCGATAAGACCGATTATTTTCTATGGTGTATTAGTTGGGTGGGATGCTCTCAATAAAAAGGTAAATGCTAACAAAATGTACAGAGTTCCACCAATGGCTTCTCTACTGATAACAGAAGCCATAAAGACAACAGGCACCAAAGTGCTCAACATTTCTCCCGACGAAATTGTACGCAAGAAATACATATGCCATGTAATACAGCCATTAGGCTTAATCCAACCAGTAAATCGACGTCTGGACACTGTAAAATTATTAACGACCTCACTCAGTTTCATACAACCGACCAACCGCACTCTCAACACCAGGTCAATGAACCGTGTTTCCTCAAGGGAGGAATGGCCATTGGATACAGTCAGGAAAAGAGGAGCCATCCATGTTTACATGGATGGATCGAAACTGACTACAGCAGAGTTTTGCGGGCGGAACTGATGGCTATCTCGAGGGCCCCATAACTGATAGAGTGGCGGTTATTAAATCCCTTAGAAATATGTCGCTGACTTCAAAAGTAGTTGCTCAATGCCACCGATCTCTTAACGAGATGGCTTAGACACTCAGCACAGACATTGTCTGGGTACCTGGCCATTGCGACATTGAGGGAAATTGCATACTTTCGAATCCCTCTTCAAACATGTACGTGTGCTGAATGAAAAATTCATTCAGGTGGTTGAAAAGAGATTTACAGCTGTACACACACAAGCCTTGGTGTTGGAATGTTTGAAAGAGCAATAATGTCAACGGATTTTATTTCGCTTTTGAAAAAGTAATAATGTAAATTGACTTTGTTTCGCACCAGTATGCGAAATAGTGTCAATTGACCTTATTTGTGTTGATTTTGTTACCTGTCACCCGACTGCGACAGTACTCCCGTATTGGGCAGTCGTAGGGCGCAAACATCTTTTTCAATCAGAATGACACCAAAGGCATCCGTTGGACAGGTGCGCAAAGCTTCTGTGGTGGCCACACAGACCAGCCGGTGCAGCTTGCTCACCCTTTTGGCCTTAAACTACGCTTGTCTCACGCAGGAAATTTTCTACGCAGGTTGCTTTTCACCTTGTTAACTGACATTTCCCCCATATCTCGGTTATCTCCGGAGCTCGATTGGCTTCGGCGTGGCTATCTAGTAAGGCATACATAAGTCACTCAAATATGCATAGCACAGCAACTGGTTTGGTTATGTTAAATGAAGAGACACTAACGCTCCATTGAGGCCAGATGGAGAAGGAAGTGGCTTCACTAGCATTTCCAATAAGGAACGAATGGCGTGCTTTAAGCGGCTGCAGCGCCAGCCCAAACAATAAGAATAACAAATATGTATGTGTACATATATGTATTAAAATAGTATGAGGGATTTGATGTCATATGTGAAAAGGTAGCCTCATCAGTCGGCGTGATTAAAGATTGGTTAAGCAGCTTTGGGCTGAACCTACCCGAGCAAAAAACTGAAACAATACTCATATCGGGCTGTAAGAAGTTAGAGCAGGTAGCGTTGAAACTGTGTGACCACTTTATCATGACGAAATCCACAATTAAATACCTAGGAGTAGTGCTAGACAAGCATCTTACTTTCAGCGCCCACTTGAGATATGTGAAAGAGAAAGCAGCTTCAATGATCACGGAACTATCGCGAATAATGCTTAACATGCGGGGACCGTAATATCACAGAAGTATACTCTTAGTGAGTTCGATTAAAAGCCAAATACTTCATGCGGCCCCAATTTGCTCGAACGCAACACAGTGTCCAGCATACTTCCGCGAAGTCAACCCAACATACCCTTTGTGTGCGCTCCGAGTTTGCAGCGTCTACAGAATAGTATCGGACGAAGCAGCTTTCGTAATCGTCAGTATGATAGCTGTAGATATACTGGCGAGAGAATCGACGCTTCTTGCATCCGCCCCGCATGCTATAATTCAAATTGGCCAATGCCGAGTCCGGAAAAGCAGCAGCATTACGGAGTTGCAAAACAAGTGGAATAAATAGTACGATTAAGGGTCGTTGAACCTATCGCTGCATACCAAATCAGGTATCCTGAATAAATAGATTTTTATCTGTGTCAGTTCTTGAGGGCACATGGCTATTTTAAGGCATAACTGTTTAAATTCAAACATAAGCACGACCCGTATTGTGAATACTACGGATGTAGCGTGGAAGAAGATGTCCGCCACATATTCCTTGAGTGCCCTCGATTCAATCGGCAGATGAACCAATTGAGACTAGCCGTTAGAGGGGTGTTTAAGTACGCCACAGTCAGTAGTCGAATATATGATGAAAGGAGGTGGTGAATGAGCATCAACCAGCGACATACTAACTTCAGGTCTAGGGGGCTACTCTGTAATGCGATACGAAAGAGCAATGCGATGCGAAAGGTAAATACGCCGTAAGTAATATGCTGTGACGATTGCCTATCGCATCGCTTTCCTCTTTCGCATCACATTACAGGGTAGACCCCCTGAAACACATGAGAAGCCTCGAGTGACAGCAGCGTATCGCCCGTGATTAAACCAACTGAAAGCTTAGCCGCGAATTGGAACCAAACCACGAAGTTCGCCAACCAAAGCGTAGGCGCGGACTGGAACCTAGGCCATTCCAGCCGCCAATACAGCGCGTGGCTTTGTAATTCATGCACCCGAAGGTACGGTGCAGATTGGAACCTAGGCCGTTGGAACCACCAAGGCAGTGCGGCTTTGAAATTAATGCACCCGGAGAGCAGGTGCGGTGTGGATTGGAACCTAGGCCGTTCCAACCACCAAGGCAGTGCGTCCAACCGCCAAGGAAGTGCGGCTTCAAATTTTAATAATTTTAAGATATTTGTTCTCACTGTTTATAATACCGTAATTATAAGTCGTGGTTGCAAATATCTGGTAAGAATTAAAAAAAAAAATAAAGTGTTTTGGTTTACAAGGACGAATAGGTATTGAAAATTCGCTTTTAATAAATTTTATCTTTTTAATTTAATAAAGTTTGCAGGACGAAATTCGATAATGAGGTCGTAAGTATATTAGTCCTCAAGCAATAATTAAAAAAAAAAAAATATCGCCAATTTTATTGGATATTTAAGCACAAAATTTGTAAAGGATATTTTCCATACCCATTCGTCCTTATGCACCAAAAACTGTATTCTGTTATAATTCCACAGAATTTTTTCTTTTATATGTTCCCTTTATTGTTATGCTACATTGCACTGAATTTTTTAAATAATTTTTTGAAATAATCATATTTTTTTAAATGTCATAGTCCTTTTAAAAAAGTCCTAACGTTAGAGAGAAAAACTAAGTGCGCACTTTTATTATATTTTACCCATAGTTTCGCGAATGTTTTAATTTTTATGTGTGTAAAATTTACTGTCGCACGGTGAAATAGTTAAAAAAGGTCTTTCTCTTTAAACAAGACTTGGCAAAGGAGGCTTAGTTCCGGTTAAAGTCCCTCACTGACGATATAGGACTTCGATGCACCCTCCTCGTAAAACAAAAAAAGTATGAGGGATTTTCTGCGTCGCGACCGTAGTGTTAATTGCCATTTCAACCCCCACACCATTCCCACCGTACGCACGTATGTACATACATATGTCATATAGATGGTATAATGAATAAGCATCACTGGTTGTCAAGCGAAATACAGTGCAATCCGGTTATAATGGACTCCACGGGATCGCGTCACATTGTCCATTATAACCGAGTGTCCGTTTTATCAGAATACAATATTTTTGAATAATAAAGAAATAATGTACATGTGAACAAATCACAGATCATAAACCAACCGTCACTTACAATCTACCACAAAAGCTGATTGCCTATTTTGGCAGATTTCGGTAAACCAATTAACTTTGTTTAAGTATATAGACAGTTTTTGTTAAGGAGACGATTGCTTCTCTTTACTGAATCCGGGGAATTACCGAACTTTGTTTATTGCAGAGAATTTTCTTTAATTTGGCCAGAAAGCCCCGGTTACAATGGCCAAAAACCGATATTTTTGTCCATTATAGGCGGAGTCCATTATAACCGAGTCTATTTTAACGGTGTTTTTTTTCATATATTTGAACTGGGACTTGACAAATAGGTATATAATAACAGAGTTTTAATTTTAAGCGAGTCCATTATAAATGGATTACACTGTATCTACTTAAATATATAAGTATGTATTTGTGTTTGTACTATCTGCGGACTTCGCGAGGGTTGATCGCTTATGATTTTATGATGATTTTAGCGAATCAATACTAAGTAGATGCTTTTTTCCTATACATACATACATACATACATACATATGTACTATATACTCACAGTATCGATGCAATGCCAATAAAAAATGATTGATATATTTGTAAAAAAACAAAAAATACTTTCCTACGGCTGATTGGCTGGCTCGCTGACCGAGTTAATCAGCCAATAAAAACGAATCGCCGACTAAAAATTTTAATTATCGCATACTCAAAATTTGTTTTTTTTTGTGTTCCTCGAAATATGTATGTATTTACGTACATATGTATATACATATGTATGTGAGTACATGTAAAAACAAAAACTATAATGAGTTTAATAAAAATGTTATTCACCTTGGTTTCTGTTGACATCAGACGACGAATCGCTTCGGTCTGACTCTTGTTGTGTTATCGACATTTGTTCTTTGGGTTTCTACTTTCTTGAAAGATTGTGGCTCGGCTTTGTTGATGCAGCTGCAGTTGTACCCTGTGTTCTATTGATGTTGGTGATTGTGTGAGTGGCGCTGCTAGTAATTTCGGTGCAAGCGCTGTTTTGCTGGTTGCATATTAAGAAATTGTTTTTTGTTGTGTTACTTCTTTGTACTTTTTGTAGTTCTTAAACTAATTGACGATGCCTAGATTCTCTTTCTAGATTCTGAGAACATCAACGTCACATTTATCTTCACTTAGTAAATGCTCTTCAAAAAGGTTTAATCTCCGCTGTCATGTTTTTATGTATTTTATTTGTGTTTACTAATATTTTAAAAATTCACAGCATAAACAGTTTCACTCTATGTTTCTTATTCATTTTACTTGTCTCCACTTGCTTAGATTTTTTATGCGTCGTTGCCAATTGGCCAACGTTCTATTCTTTTCATCAATGAGTAATACGCTCAACTTCCGTCATTCTTCACCTATGCACCGACGCGACGGACACAAACTTCTACACTGACGCTCAGTTGATTTGTATGCCTTCCAAGAACTTCCAAAAATTTCATTCAAATATTTTTCCCAAAGTTGTTGTCTGCAAGTAAAACAACAAAAGTACCATCTATGAAGTCCAACTTTAGGAACCGAAAACGTCACTACCACAACAAAACAAACGCAATAATGACGACTTCTGATGACGCTTACTCCACGACTGACGATTGACTAGAAAACGCCAAACTAGAAAATCCCAATAAAAAATAAAACTGAGTGGTTGCTGCCCTCACCGCTGCTGACGCGGCCGCGGCTGCGGCCGCGTCCGCTGTCGCTGTCGTCACTGCCCTCGTCATCTATGAGAACCCGAAATTCCAAATCAACAGCAAACCAAATAGAATTTGAAATCAACATTGAGCTATGTAGTCAGTGTTGCCACGGTCAATTTTTTTTCCTACCAAAACCTAAAAAAAATTTTTTGAGCTTTAATTTTTTTTCCTAATGTCAAGTTTATTAAAAATGCATATAACAAATCATTTAGTAAAACTAAAACACAGCTAGTGCAATAAAAATAAATATGTGTCTCTCTATACATTCATATTATAATTATTATTAATATTTGGGTCGGGGGTACTCCCGCTGCGATCTAAGAAGATCTATTGCGCTTAACCCTAATTGTAATCACTCCAATCCTAGTCTATTTAAGAAGTTAAGCACTTGGAAAGGCGCCATGTTTCAAATTTTGGATGAAGAAGACAGTCGTTCCCCAAGGTGTTTCAGTCTGCTATATATGATACTTGGGCAGTCACATAGAATACGCTCTGGGGTCTCATCCACCAGCTCACAAAAGGCTAGGACAATTTGGGCTCCACGCTTTGCGAGACAGTCAATGCTTTCGTTACCTTCAAACCCTTCATGTCCCGGAGCCCACCACAGCGTTACGCTATTGTGGGCTTCCAAGTGGTTCAAAAGCTGTCCACAAGCCCGACGCTGTTTTAAAAACTTCTAAGGCCTTTAACCTGGCTTACTATCCGACATAATATTTATTTTGGACAAATGGGGTCCTTTAAACAGACTTCGATTGCGAAGACTTCCGCCTAGAATATACATAGTTAGGTATGTGCAAATTGGAAGACTTTTCTGGATTCTTGGTTCAATTACGCCTGCCACAGTACTCGTGTCGTCCATCTTTGATACGTCGGTATACCACCCTTCGTCAATCATAATTATTATCACTTCACAGCATTGCCTTTTAGGAATTCTGACCTTGTAGGGTATGTAAAAGAATAGCTTGGGATTATCCAGGAATGGCTTTAGAACCTTCAAATGACCCCGAAGATTCCAATTTTCTTGCTGATCATGTTGGGAAGTCGTAGGGCGCTCCAGTAGGCCTCTTTTTCAACTGAAATAAACAATAGAGGAACGTTTGTAATGAAACCAAGGGCATCCGTTGGACAGGTGCCCATAGCTCCTGTGATGACCACGCGGACCAATCTGGCATCAGCCTTTACTTGCTTAGCTTTTGGCCACCAGATCAGCACCGTATATGTGACAACGGGCCTTACTCGCGGATTGAATAGGTTAATTTTGGCGATATTCACCAAGTCTTATCATGCAGTCTCTGTCAGGTGGACAATAGTCGACTTCAGAGGGTTTATTGACACGCCCTTTTCAGCACACCAGTATTCAGGACATATACATACATATGTAGTTTCTAGATGAGTTCAATTGATACTAAGTTGTAGGCACATAAAGTATATACCTTGGATGTTCATATTTTATATATATATATTGTCAATAATAAGGGTTTACGTTATACTTACTAGGTATATTTACATCTTTACGATCGCCGTTATACGAAGGCACTGATGAAATATTTGTGTAAACCAGGTTGCTAAAATGTTTGCAGATACATATCTTATATTTTTCGCAAATAACTATTATTGTCGCGGAACCTACCAAAATTCAATCTAGCCTACCAACCTACCAAATGGAAAAAAACCTACCGGTTTTGGTAGAAAAAGCTCATGTTTGGCAACACTGTATGTAGTCCCGTCTAGGCCTACGCGTGCTTGCATTTGTGTAAATATGTATGCATGTAAATTTGTATGTGTTCACACGCACGTTGTAGGTATGAAGGTGAGGGATGTGGTGTTTCTGTTGCTGACACTGCCGGCAGCGCGCCATACGCAGCTAGGCGCAAGCATTAGATACATTATGGGCATTTAGGTATGTATGTATGTACATCATCTATCCAATAGCCACTTGCATAGCGCTCAACAATGATACCAGCGTTTGCACGAACACACACACACATTCATACACCAACACACGCACATCTTTTGTAAACGATCGCTCATACGCATTTGTCCCGAATTCGCTGTGCGTGCATTTATCTACGCCGCAATAACCGAAGCGAGGCGAAATAAGGCTGTACGTGCGTTTTATTGTAATAGATTTGTTTCAAGACGCGTTGAAGAAAATGAACGTGCCTGGAATGTATACGATGTCATCCCCTATATAATTTATCTAGCCTAGACGATAATTTGTTATGCTAGCTCTCCGGTGCATACATATGTATGTATGTAGCTCAAGGGTAGCAATGACCCGTGGCAGAGTTTCGAATTGCACTACTTTTGATGACTAAGCATCAAGGTGGTTTTCTTCTATTTTCATGGTCGCAGCCCTAATGCATTTTGCAACTGGTTGAAAATGAAAATTAATTTTCTTTATACATATGAATGTATGTATATGCATGCGGATTAATGTACCACATGTATGTATGTATGTACATACATATGTATCTAGTTAAAGGTGCAAATTTTAATGCAGTGGAAAATTTGTGATGAACTACTTTTAATTTCAGAGTTGAAGCTGAATCGTACTTAAAAATGCCTCGCATTATTTTGTAATATTTATACATACATATATTAAGGATTGTTTTACTTATATACATAGTTGAATGCGGCTGGCGTTTAATAATTTTTATACCCGATTACATTTATGCACATGCGATTTATAACCTTGTTCGCATAGCGGTGATTTGAAGCAGGCTAAAACGACCCTGCAAAAAGTGGGACTAGGATAAATACTAGTGCGGGACCACGCTAAGTTGTAACCAACACTAGTAACCAAAATGGTCGAAATATATGGAGAAAATATGGTTACATTAACATTGCGATGTCATTGGACCACCTGACCACCTCTGGTCCAACACTGCATAACATGGGATCACTTCTGGGACCACCTAGACAACTACTCCTTTTGGACCATGGCACATTTGGCAGCCGAATCATGTTGCCGATGAGCCACCATAGAGGTGGTTCTCAACACATATATCAGTTTTTAACGTTTGAAGTGGTCCAGGTAAGCATAACAAGTTAATAGTATGCAACCTGGTCCTTTTGCACATATTTTAAAACTACGACCCAGTGGACCCTGGTCCTAAAATTTTTGCAGAGTATGTTCATATTACAGCATAAATTACCTTGTTCCGTTCAAATTACTTCACATAAATCAAGTACGTTGTCATTTTCTTTAGTAATTTCTATAGATATGTGTACGTAAGAGTGTGTGGTTATCAGAGCTGTAAAATGATTGAATCAATAGGATCTGCATTCACCCGGCATTCTTTTCAAAATTTTGATTGTTTGTTTGTATAAAAAAAAACCTCATTACTGAGTGGCTTAAAATACTTGAAAACAAAGAAACTGTGTTGTGTTATTGAATGGTAGATTGACATTCAGTATAGAATGTGAATGTAACAGAAGCATTCGCACACAGACATGATTGTATATTTAGAATGAATGCACACTTTTTTTTTACCATTCAGTACCAATAATTTGTTCCCAGGGTTGATATATTTTATACTTTAAAGTTTGAACATATCTGGAATTGAAACAAAAACAAATATTTTATTTCAAAGTATATGTACTTATGTATTGAAGTTTTCTGCCACTAACCCAAAGCCAATGACTCGTGCAATATTATTTATTCCAAAGCAACTTATCGCAACCGTAGAGCAAAACAGACACATCTTGATATGTATACATATACATCATCGATTGTAGACATTTTTTCGCAGAAGAATATACAAAATTGATTTATCACAATTATTTTTGTACTAAATATTTTTTTCACAGTATACAGTGATCCAGGTAGCCAAAACAAAAAATGTAAACATGCTTATTTGGCATTTTGTTTGAATGTATTGGTTGATATTTTTTCACAGTTGTCGTTTTCGTTAACCCAAATGAAATCCAATTTAAATATTTTCTTATAGTGAAAAATATTTTCAAGTCACATAAAATAAAATAACGAGAAACACGAAATTCCAAGCAAATGAAGCGTGAAGCGTTAGCAATTATGACCGGATGCAGTTCCTACATAAGTCAAACCGTGTTCTGAACACAACTTTGAGTGAATAATGGTGGGCTGACTTTGTAAAATGGTCCCATCGATTAGGCGGTAAAAGAAGTATTACTTAGCTTATGGTACAGCTCTCCAATTTTCAAATGCACGTAATTTGTGTGTATTTGTTCAGCCGATTATTCACATTTGAAGGAGGATAATGCATGAATTAATGCAAGTAAAGACGGTTTATGCAAATAAGCGAGCGCGTTTGTTAACCGTATAAAATGTATGTATGTATATACACATATATTCAGAATGACGAGATGAACTAGTTCAGCCCTCTCTGTTTGTAAGCACGCTAACTCGAACATAATTTAGTTATTTTAACGAAAGTCGGTGTCGAAG